CCCACCAAAAAAAAAAAAAAACAAGCAGCAAACTACTTGGGGTACATGGAGTGAAGAATGTTGAGGAGTGTGGGAAGGGTCCATGTGTGGGCTGTAAGAAGGAGGGTGTTTAAGGATCACACATCCCTGCTACCCAGGCATAGTAATTGAGGAGACCCAGAATTCTAACATCTCTTCCCCTGTACCAATAGGGAGTGGGTTGCCATAGTGACAGATACAGGTGGCTCTAGCCTGCAAATAGCTGATCCTGTGGGTCTTGGTCAAAGCTCCTCTTACATAGTTGGGAGCTGGCACCCCAGATTGGAAGTAGTTTCTTGGTCATATTTCCCAGTGACTCCACTACGGTTTGAATGTGTGCCCCCCAAATTCATATATTAGAAAACTTAACAAATTCATCTGATGATAGTATTTGGAGGTAAATGAGAGGTGATCTGGGTTGGTTGAGGTCACAAGGGTGGGGTGCCTGATGGCATTCTTAGTAAGAAGAGGAAGAGAGACCAAGGCTGGCATAAGTCACTTGCCATGTTTAGATGCAGCAAGAAGTCCCCAGAGGCTGGCACCATGCCTGCTACTCTGGTATCCAGAATGAGAAGGTGGGTAAACATTTACTCTTTACCTGGACATTTGATTATAGCAACAGAACTGTGTCAGTCTCACTGTGAGCCCCCTTGCTTGTAGTTACTGGATAAAATTCACAGCCTGGGCTGTAATACAAAAAAGCTCTTAGCACACCTTCACTGAGCAGATGGAAACATCCAGGAGAAAAAACTCTAGAGGAAGAATGATCTAGAACAGTGGCTTCTTATTAATACTGTGGGAACAGGTGGAATCGTGTAATAACTCAGGAGCACTTAGAACAGGAGTACTATACCACACCCCCTCCCCATGACCAGGACTATCTGGACAGGCAGAGCCAGCTCTCCTCTTCCTTCCCCCAACTCCTCTTTTTCTTTGAGACAGGGTCTCATTATGTAGCCCAGGCTTGCCTGGAACTCATGATCTCCTTGCCTCAGTCTCCCAAGTGCAGGGTAATAAGCATGGGGCATGCTGCCTGTCTCGTGATTTTTGCCTAGAGACCTCTGCCTGAAAATTCCCTCACTCTGTTGAGCACCTCCTTACTCAGCATGGAGTCCTGGGGCCTACACTGGTCTACCCTTTGAGAAATGCAGAATCTCAGGCTTGGTCCAAGTCAGAGCCCTCCCAATCAGAATCTGTGCTTCAAGGGCCAGTGAGATGGCTATGTTCATGAAGGTGCTTGCTGCCTGACAACCTGAGTTTCATTCCCAGAACCTACATGGTGGAAGGGCGAAAACTGACTCCCACAGACATTCCCAGATTTGTGCTGTGGTGGTAGTGTATGTGCATGCACCCGGCCACCCCCAGCTCAACCATGAGACTCTCTGGCCTGTATCATATTTCATACAACAGACTCAAACACATTCTTCAAAAAGCAATCAGTAGGATGCACTTATACTAACATAAAGGAGGCTGAGAGGACAGTGCATTATTGTTTCTGAGGCACAGTTTCATGTAGCCCAGAGTGGTCTTAAACTCACTTATGTAGCCAAGGCTGGCCTGCTAGGATCACAGGCATGCAACATCATACCTGGCTTAAGGACATTATTTTGTAATATGTAAATCCCTGGGCCCTTCTATAGAGAATTACAAGATCTGTGGAGTGTTAACAAAATGTTATGAAAAATAGGATGCAAAAGACAGAAAAACAAGAAAAAGAAAACACTGGTGTGTGTGCCCACTGTGCCACTATGGAAGAGCCCCTCCCCCTCTTACATCTGAGAGGTCAGAGTGGCTTTTTAGATCCTGGTAACACCATTAACTAAACAAAGGACTGGCTCAGGATAGCTGCAGGCAGCCCAATCACTGAGCAATCAGCCTGCACAAGCCAGGACCTTGCAGAGCTGACCTCTTAATCTTCACAATGACTCATCAGCTCCTGTGAATCCATTCTACAGATGAACACAGAGGCCCAGAAGGCACTGGCTCAAAAAACCACCAAGGACATGGAGAAGTTATACGAATCTGAGGGAGACCGGGGCTTTCATAAGCTGCACAGGCCAGATAGTCTTCTAGTTACCTTTGATGTCAGATGACTAGGCCACAAATTGCTTGTTATGTAACGGGTTGGGATGTAGCTTAATGGTAGAGTTTCTATCTAGAGTCTGCCAGTGAAGGGGTTGGGATGTGGCTCGTTGGTAGAGGCCCTGCCAAGAATATCTAGCGAGGGGCTGGAGGTGTGGTTCCTGCTTAGAAAACCCGAGTGAGGGGCTGGCTTCTTGGTTCAGTGGTAGAGGACCTGCCTTCAATTCCCCAGCTAGGGGCTGGGGAGGTGGCTCGGGTGAAGACTGCTTGTTTAGAATGCAGGAGGCCCGGGGTTCATCCGCAGCACTGAATTACATTTGTGATCTTGACAGTCCACCCTTCGGTTTCCCCATCTGTCAAGTGGGGCTGTCAGCACTGGCTCAGGGGACCCGGGGTAACTGCGGAGAGTCCACTGACGCTCACAGCTGCGTGGGTGGACTGTACTTTTGTGGCCTGGCGGACCCAGCCAACTCTGGCCTCAGTTTCCCGACTGAGGGAGGGGGGCCTGTCGCCTCAGGTGACGACCGTCCTCCCCACCCTCCAGGCGGCCGCACTCACTTCCTGCGCCGGTGGCGCCGCTCCTTGTCGTCGTAGGCGGCGGGCTGCCCGTGGCGGTGGCGTCGCCTGCGCTCGCCGTCGTCCTCCCCGGTGCGAGGTGGCCTGGTGGCGTCGCGGGGCCGCTGCCTGCGCTCGGGCCTGTCGTCGGGCTCGTCCCCGGCCCTGCGGCGCGCGCGATGGCGGCGCAGCTCCCCGTCTGCTCCCTGCTGGTGAGCATGGCGAC